GGGAGTGTCTTTGGGTTTGCAGGTGTCCAGAGTGAGGTGTAGCTGGTGGTGGAGGTTGAGGGAGACCTCAGACAGCCTGGAGAATCTCTGTGACCTCTCTTTACAGTCACTGGTTTTCTGTTTTCCTGATTTAAGATGTATTTTATATTGAAAGCTGCAGTCGTTGACATTTCTCTGTATGTCCTTTCAGTTTCTCACTGCAAGGAAGTTTGTGGTATCTGTATATCTCACAAGTTTTTGAGTTGGACTCCAGTATCAATAGCGTGTTCTTCTTCCTAAAGTCAAGTTTCTCAAATAGTTTTCTCAGTATACATTTTGAATAGGTATGAATAAAGAATACAATCCTTCTGCGCACTTTTCCTGATTTTAAACAAAGCAGTACTTTCTCATTCTGTCTGAACAAATCCTTGATCTATGGACAGTTTTCACTGAGCACAATTATGTGTGTAGTAATTATTATTCTTTTCAAAGTTGTTAATAATTTATTGTGATCCACATACCCAAAACCTTTGCATCATCAATGAAACACTAACAAATATCTCTCTGTTATTCTTGCTTTCAGTCAGGATCCATCTGTCGTCATACTACTTGGTGCTTTCAGTTGTCACAGAGATCAGTGCAAATAGGAGGGGAGAGTAGATATTAGTGACATTTAACAAACAGACAAACAAACAAACAAACACTAAACTCATTGTCATTGAGTCAGAAAAGAGTCATAACTGAATTTCCCTTGGGTCTCTGAAGTTGTAAATCACGTGAGTGGAGATTGCCCATATGCTCCAGAGATGTGTAGCCTTTGGTTTAGCAGCACATGTTTGTCCCTGCAGTTGACATGTTGACTAGCGGAATTTCCTCTAAAGGATTTGTTGGGGCCAATAAGTAGGTGACAAATGTAGAGGAACAGATTTGAATTGCTTTGCATATTTTTCCTGGCATGATGCCTTTTGTCCACCACTGGCCTCTACTGACAGCACACCCAAAGTATGTCAGTCAGACCTCATCTTGGAATGCATGGTAATCCTCAACATGGAAGACCCTTCATGACTGACCCGGGCATTTAATTCGTTCAGAAGTGAGGGCTCTTTGAGCAAGCTCAGAGACTTACTGTGTGGTAAAGCTGGAGAGCTTTGCATTCATATCCTCCCTGGTTAAGATTTTCAAAACCATTGTACTGATCTCTGCCTTTCCACTTTTTCTCAGCAATTTTCTTTCACATACTTATCAAGAACTTTACTACTTTTTCATTCTTTTGACTTAAGTGGTGTGTGTGCACTGTGTCTGAGCAATGTACACTGCTCCAAACAGCAGCTGCCCAACATGCAGGGAAGGAAACAGCAGCTGTCCAACATGCAGGGAAGGTCTTTGTATTCACAAGTCTTGAAATAAATCCATTTGAGAACACTTTATTTACATGCCTCATTCAGGGAATATGTATGTTTTCATGGCTTCTTGGTATCCTGAGCTCTGGAACTCTTGTGAGGTTTCCTAAGTACACATTTTCTTATGGATCTCTGATTATTCTTTACTTGGACAATTAGTTGTTTTACAGGAGCCTTCATAAAGGTGTGGTCCTTCCTCTCATTTTAATGATATTAGTTTTATATCAACTGGACTGGGTTTTTTATCTTTAAAAAATTTCTTTTTTATTTCTGGTTAAATCATACTGTGTTTCTTATGATTAATCCCATACTATGTGTCTCACAAAATTAATCACCATTTATTTATTCCCACAATTACCCTATTTTTACAGATTCTCACTGGCTATTTCCAAATTCCTTTAATGCTCCTTCCACTTACCAGACTATCCTACCTAATAATCTCCATCCTTTCCTAATTTCAGCCCATCACCACCTCCCTTCCCTCTTAGTATGTCTATACACATCTTACTAGTTATCCTTCTGTTTTTACAATAATGATCTTTGCGGTATTTGTCTTTATAACACTCTCTAGCCTCTCTCATGTTATACAATATTTTTCAAAATTGTTGCTCCTGAATGCTGCATAGTATTCCATCATGTGAATTTACTACAACTTCTCAATCTAGTCATTTGTTGATAGACATCTGAGCTGTTTCCATATTCTCACTATTGTTAAAATGCTGCTATGAACATTAGTATAGAAATCTCTGTTTGTGTCTCAGTTCTACTTTCCTCGAGGTATATTCCTAGCAGTGCAATAACTGGGTCATGTACAATTTCTATGTTCAGATTTTTTTTACATTTTTTTAAATGACTTTAATTGGAGACTTGACCTAAACCATATGGAAAAGCCTGGCTGGATCTGTATGATCATCTTGTTCTCCACGGGGTAAGAGGGGAAATTTTTTTTTTTTAAATTTAGGTTGTTTATTTTTCATTTCAATGAACATCTACAGAGATTTTGGGATTCCATTCATTCATTGTTGCACCCTTCTCCCCG